AAGGTGCATCATCTAATACTATAATTGAATTTGGTGCTATCTGTTCAATCATCTGCTCAAAATATTCTTCGAAAACATCAGCTGCCATCTCCTCGTGATAGTCTTTTGTGCTTTCAGACTGAAATTCCAACAAACCATGCTTAACAAATCCTTTTTCCCTGCCAATGTGAGAAATCATTTATGCCTTTACCAGAAGATGGGGAGATACCAGTAGACCAACCTTTCATAAAGGCTTGCCTAGAGCTTAATATATTTTTATCTGACCAATTTTTTTTTTAGAGTATGACCTGAGTTTACCCACGTTTCATCCTGGTAGAATATTGGCATTCCTTGGATTGTATTTTAGATAATTTCTACTCCAACATATTATCTCCTCCCGGTCAACAATAGTTTTCTCTCTTGGTGAATAGACAGACTTACTGACTGTAAGCAACAGTACCAGTGTAAAGCTTGACGATGTTGATGATGAAGCCATCACCAACAATCCAACAAAACGAACACGAGCGAAAGGTACGTATATGTTTGTAGGTATATGGAATAAAAAATCACTTACGCACTGCATATAATTCGCAAAAGAAATATTCGACACGCTAATTACTGTTGTAGACGCGGAAACACGGTAGACGAGCCATAAATTACATGCGATCAAAAACGTACTAAACAAAAAAAAATATTTTCGTTCGTAATAACTTCACCCTTTCAAGTTAAGTTTCAAATATAAACTGAACAGGCGAGGCACGTGCAAAGCCGGCATCTTTATAAAAATTATATTATTAAAAATCTGGGGAATTCCATCCTATTTATCTTGCAACGAATAGTACCTTCGGATATGAATTTCAGGTTTTCTAGTAAAGTGATTAAACGCGAAGATTAGTATTGACATATCCAAAGAGAAAATGTATTCTTATTTACAAAATTGTTAATGGTTAGTTTCTTATTTTTATTAATATAATATAATAACCAACATTAGCCGAGAAAGCTTTAATTGTTTTGTGCTAAATATATTAGTATTAAAACATTATTAATTTTCATAAACATTTTGGAAAGGAAAATAAATGTAAAACGCATTAATTTTAATGAATAAACACCCCAGGAACGCCTATGATGATACAAATTTTACGACCGTTTTATGACTTTGAGGCACATTTCGTGCTATCAACAATTTGTGAACGTATAATAGCTGGGAACATCGTTACAATCCTACAATAATTTGTGATAATGGTAGCCTTTAACAGCTAACATCTTAAATCAACTATGTTCCTATTTTTATATTTGTATTTAGTCTATAGACTATTATCAAAACATTATTACTACAGATTTTAATTTGCGCCATTTACATTGTAGGTATTATCGTACAACACTGGAAAACCACGCACACTCAGTTTTCCAAAAATATTAGGTTCGGCCTGTTAAGATTTGGCCTATAACGCACGGAACTAATTTCATCAAAATTTTGTTAGTGTACGGACTCACGATTTTTCTTCTGTTTCTTCAATTATCTCGTTTTTGTAAGGTTATACCCTCATAACGACGTATCCAGCCCGTCTCTGCGGCCCCAAATATTTCTGAATTCCGGGTGAGTTCTACTTTCCGAAAGACGCTCGTCGCATTCTTACTATAATTTGAGACTTGTAGTGAGGGATGAATAATATATTAGGCCTGGATGGGAGTCTGATGTGAGACTTCCACTTTTCTTACTCCCGACGACTTGTAAACACTTTCTGATGTTTTTGGAATGAACTACTCCAGAGAACAAATTGAGTTTTATTAAAATAGATTTGAATGCCTTACCGTTGGAATGTACTGTTTTTAAGCAGTTTTTAGTAAATTAAAATAGGAATAAAGCAGGGTCTAGGTGTAAGAAGTAATGGGGATTAAAAATATTGTCTTCTTATTGTTACGCAGTTCCGTTAAAATGTTGGAGACTAATATCGCTGTTCTAACTGTATTGATTAATGCAACGTTTAATGGTTCGTAGGATATGCAACCGATATCCGGCTTCTTATTGATCCGCTTTTTTTGAGTACCTTATCTTGCAGTTGTTTTGTGTACCATATTAAAAGTATCGGACTGTGGCGATCACCACATGAAGCGCTTGACGGTTTTCCCCAAATGAGAATGTTGGTCTGTGCTCTATTTTTCCATTCAGTCTAGAATGATACAAATGTAAGAAACTTGCTATCTGCCTACATCACTTCGATCTTCTATGTATTCCTTGAGAATCAGCTGCAGTATTTCTCTTTTCCTAGTCTTTGTCCACTTCAGGGTATACCCCTTTCTTGTTTGTATCTAGAGTGAACAGTCTTGTGAACTTTTTATTCTAAATGTGCGATTTGTGGTGTAGAGATGTTGGCGACCATATTGGCTCATCTTCTTATCTTGTGTACTTTGAATCCAATTTTTCGTCTTCTTTTGCAGATCATTTAGCCATTGTGTAGTTGGTCTTCATCTTTTTAGTTTATTTGTTCTGAGTCTCCAATGGGTTAACTTGCGGGTCCGTCTCCACTTCCTCTGACACCTCTTTTAGTTTTATTTCGTTACTGTTTTTGTGTAACTTTATAACGTTTGTCTCATTTCTATAAATGTTCTATACTAATCTGAAATAACGGGTATCAATAAGAATTTAATTTAATGCTTTAATTACTACTAGGTCAAACGAGTCAAACGCTTTGTGGATCTCTATAAACACTAGTGCTAGACATCAGTTATGTTCTATCGATTTTTCAATAAGTTACTTTATCGCTTGCAGGTAGGATATAACCCCTTTTGCATTTACTGATGCCTTCTCTGTGCTGGCAGTGGTGCGGAATGAATCAGATCACAAATATCGGGTTCAAAACGCATGTAACATCGTAAAGATATGGATGACATAGCACGAACCGAAACTAGCGGCAGAGTTAACCGAAGACATCGTTTTAAAGAGAAAAAGAAAGAGGCAAAGTGTGTAACTACAATGACTCATCATCATCATCATCTTTGGCTCGACAATCCTCTGTGGATCTTGGCCTGCTCTAAGATTCGTCGCCATTCTGTTCGGTTTTTGGCAACATGTTGCCATCTTCTGATTTTTAATATTCGTAAGTCGGTTTCTACTCCATCTAACCACCTAATTCGCGGTAGGCCTTTACTTCTGTTTCCTACAGGTGTTCCTGTAGTTAGCTTTTTAGCAATGATATTTTCTGGCATTCGTATTATGTGTCCAGCCCATCTAAGTCTATCTAAGTCGCTGTGTTTTAATAAACGTTATTCAATGACTAACACCCTATAATTATGAAAAGTACCTGGTAGTGACGTTGCATCAGAATGGAAAGTAGGGAAGCACGTACAAGAGGTGACCCGGAATGCTACAAATAGAGCGGCTGAGTTAGGGAGGGTGATGTCTAGAATTAAGAACCCAAAACTAAAAGAAGGAGGGCCTTGCACGGTGTTGTTTAGTCGATCGTTTTCTACGCCATATCAGTCTCGACTGGGGCGGTATAAATAACGGCCTACAGGAGTCATGAGATGAGTGGACAAAAACAAGTCTGTTTTGAGTGGCAGGCACCTACAGGACTCGGTCTGTAGCAGCCTTGTGGGCCATCACTCGATGTGTTCCACTGCATGTATTGCCAGTGGAAAGAAAAGTAATATATAAGAGAAAAGACGTAGACCTTACTATAGCCGAGAGAAGACAGCAAAGGGAAAGGTCAGCTAAATAATGACGAAAAGAATGGAGCAACACGGATGATGTGGCAGACTATAAGAGATTGGGTGGACTGTGGTCACAGGGGACTGGATTATTATTTTCCATGCCTATACCGCGGACACTTCGACACTATGACACATGTGACGTTGTAGTGCAGCAGATATCAATAGTCATAAAAAACTATTTGTAGAGGACTAAAATCTGAATTAAAAACAAATGTTAAAACCGTTCTACGAATCAAATGTACTTCAAAATGTTGCAAAAATATAATAGATTTTTCAGACCACCCCTAAAAGTTAGACCACACGTAATACAAGAATATATTACGTGTGTGTTTTATCATATTGATGTCAGATGTTTGACAATTTGAATTGTCAATAATTTTGTTTTATGATTAAATTATAGACAATGAATTTTACTAAAATCGATCAATATAATGAAATGTACTCAGTTGACGAAAAATCGCATAATGTTGTATTCAGGCAATAGCGCGAACCTTTCCCTGTCACTACCGGATCTTTATTTAACGTAAGATATTCTAATACACTAAAATTTAATTCCATGTTAAGTTATACAACAATTCAATGAATTCCAATATACTGTTACTGTGATCTTTATTCCTAAAAATAATTTATGATAATTTCTAAACATAAAACTATAACAAATGTTATAATAAAACATGAATAAAACATTTTTATTATTGCTCATTTCTCCTTAACTGAGTACATTTTTTAATCAACTTAATATTTTTTTAAACAATAAATCACAAAATAAAAATATTGGCCATTTAAATTATAGAAAAATATAATTTAGTTGATTTAAATATTGTCAAATATTAGAAACGTCAATGTGACAAAACGCAACACGTAATACACATTTTTTCACGACGTCTGGCGTGACTTTTAGGGGTGGCCTGAAAAATGTATTATATTTTAGCAAAATTTTGGAAAAAGTCGTAGAACAATTTTAACAATTGTTTTCAATACATATTTGAGTCCTCTACAAATAGTTTCCCATGACTTTTGGTATAAAATAATTAGGGAAGCAGGAATTCAACAATTTAGCATTTCCCATTGAGTTTCCTATGGCCGGTTTGACGATTCACTACCCTGTATAAGCCCGTCGAGGCAGCCTTTGATTATTAGTATGAGTATTCACGATTTTGCATATTATGTTTAAACGAATTTTTTTATAAAGCGATAGTTGTAAACGTAACAATATACTGCATACACAAAAATAAGGTGTTATACCCTCTATTCACCTGATGATATTTTTTTATTTAATACTATTAGTTTAAATAAAACATCTAGCGTTATCTTAAAATATTTATTTTATATTGTGCAAAATAATAATCAGAAATCTTTCGCAGGTTTAAATAGGTTATATTTGTTTAATTGGTCAATAAGTGTCGTATACTCCTTGTCCATACTTAGCATATATTTGTTTGTCATAAAAGTTCAATTCTTTTAAATACGGGTTTTTAATAAATCCATTCTTATAATCGATATTAAATAAAACTGAACGTGGAGCGATCGATGCAGGTAACCAAATAGCGTGGTCCAAGCTTGACGTTGGCAAAGGAATGGGTTTACTAAAAAAAAATTATATAAAATAGTACAACATAGAAATGTTCATATAACTTCTATATTATTTGTTTTAACAGGCATATGGTAATATGTTTTATTTCAAAAAAATAGTAAAAAAAATCCAAATTTAAATTTAAAAAAAATGATCAATTTGTTGAAATAATGCCTCTTCTTCTTCTTCTTCTTCTTCGTAGCCTTCTGTCGTCCATGTTTGGACATAGGCCTCTCACAACTCCTTCCAGCGTTCCATCTCATCTGTGGTCTTCCTCTTGGTCGTTTACTTTCGTAAGGTCTCCAATGTTTTATTGTAGTATTCCAACGTTGCTCTTTCTGTCTAGCAGTGTGGCCCGCGAAGCTCCCTTTAAGTTCTGCAATTTTTATTGTTATGTCCTCGACTTTTGTTTTGAATCTACCCAGTCGTTTCTCTTTTTATCTGACAGTCGTACACCTAACATTGCTCTTTCCATTGTTCTTTCTGTTGTGGCTAGTTTATTCATGTTTGCCTTGGTTAGGGTCCAGGTTTGACATTCATATGTCATTGGTTGAACACTTCGCTTCTCAAGTATTGGGGTATTTTGCGGTTATTAAGTATCCAACTAAGTTTTTCAAATCCTGCCCATGCTAGTCTGGCTGTTTTAGTAATTTCCGCACTTTGGTTCTCTTTGTCAAGTCACAGGATTTGGCCTAGGTAGATAAATAATGATATTTTTTAGACAATAGACAAATAATGTCTCACTGAGAGTTTACTATGATAAACTGATGATCTAAACAATTAATATTAAACCAATAAACCAGCCGCAGCATGCTTATCAATAAGAGAAATCAGGTGGAACCACCCTGCACAATCTGGTGTTGGAACTCAAAAGAAGTCTCTACCAGAAAAAAAATCGCCCTAACTGCATTTTTAGACAATAATGGTGCATTTGGTAATATCTTTATCGAGTCCATATACTAATGAGGATGAAAATTAGCAACACAATACGCAGTATGTTATTGACATGTTTAATAACAAAATAATATTCACAGATACGTATGAAGGTGCAATAGACTTGAGATCAACTGTGGAGATGGTAAAAAAGGTGTATTGCAACCAACATTCTGGAAGTTACCAATGTTAAAAATAAATGATGATCTGATTCATGGACTTACCAGCCAACGAAGATATTGTCCAAGTTTGAATAATTTGGTTGTATTGAAGATATTGTAATATGTCCAAGATATTGTTATAGTGACTAGGTGAAAACTCTTGAGTACCATTGCGTATTTTATGCCATATTACCTGCATTACATAGAGAATTTGTATCTGAAATAAAACTTCTCTATAAACCGTTCTAAAACTACACTAGAAGAAATCTACTGAACTGAGTAAGCTAAAATATTAGGGAAGAAACTAAAAAAGACCAATGAGGCCAAGAAGGAACACTCATAATAACAATATAACCAAAGAGCTCCGCAACTCTTTTCTATCTTCAGACGATTTGTGGGTAAAATCTAAGACTGAAAACAAAGGTAATCTGTTGGCTATACATATTAGTGATACAAACAGTTACATAAGGTTCATTACTTTTTTGGTAGAAAAAAAAAGGAGACTACCCTACGGAGACAAGCACTTCTAAATATGACAATAGTACAGGAACAGTATGTTAAGAGGCTGGCACAGGTCTCCCTACTCTGGAATTATATATTTTGTCGGCAGTTTTGGTGAGAATGAAAGAGCAGATGTGTAGGTAAAACAAAGTTCGAGAGAAACCTTTGTAACCCCAGTATCCTTATGTGGGCATTACTAAAGATGCTAAAAGAAATGAGGTTTAAAAGTACTTTACAAAGAATCATCAACAGAAATTGAAAGTAACTCAAAGGTAATTCCAAACAATAAAGTATTTAAAAAAATGTAATAAAAACGCTTGGGCAATTTTATAAAGAAAAATTAAAACGGTGACCAAAATGGTGACTGGACGATGTCGTTTAAAAAACTTCTATACAAAATAGGTAAGGTAAAAGGACATCTTCTTCTTCTTCAGGTGCCATCTCCGCTACGGAGGTTGGCAATCATCATAGCTATCTTAATTTTTGAGGCAGTAGCTCTAAATAGTTGTTTTGAGCTGCATCCAAACCATTCTCTCAGGTTCTTCAGCCATGAAATTCGTCTTCTTCCGATGCTTCTTCTGCCATCTATTTTTCCTTGCATTATGAGTCGCAGGATGCCATACTTATCGCCCCGCATCACATGTCCGAGATACTGTATCTTTCTTTCTTTAATTGTAAGTTCAATTTCCTTCTCTTTGCCTATTCTTCTCAGTATTTCATTGTTTGTAACTCTATCTACCCAAGAAACCCTCATAATTCTTCTATAGGTCCACATTTCAAAGGCGTTAAGTCGTCTCATGGTATCTAGATTTAACGTCCATGATTCCACTCCATAATATAGTACACTGTATACGTAACATTTTGTTAGGCGTACTTTAAGAGCTAATGTTAGATCTTTGCCACATAGGACCTTTTTCATTTTTATAAAATTAGAACGTGCTTTTTCGATTCTGACTTTGATTTCTGCCGTGTAGTCATTATTTTCTGTTATAAGTTATAAGTGTTCCTAGGTAAGTGTACTTTTTTACTCTTTCGATCTGCTGGCCCTCTACTATCAAGATTTCGTTAGTATTATAGTTGTTTTTACAAATTTTCATAAACTTCGTCTTTTTGACATTAAGAGAGAGTCCGTACTCCCTACTACACCTGACTATTTTGTTCATGAGTCTTTCCAGGTCTTGTAAATTATCGGCTATTATTACTGTATCATCTGCATATCTGATGTTGTTAGTTGCTAAAAGGACATAGCAAGACTTAACGAACATCAACGCAGTAATTTTCGCATTTGATGACCAAATTAGAAAACCGCTGGAAAAAGAACACGTTGTTGTTTACATTTCTAATATGATTTTTTTTTAAATGGATATAACTCATTGAGTAAGGAATTTAAAATATGCCGTGTAGAAATTCCACAAACCAGGAATATCTATCACTTTTAATGCAATTAAAGGATTATGGAATTGTTTTTAAATCAACCATTCAGCAGAGATTCCTTAACCACAAATTTAAAAACAAAAGACACACTCATAAGACCTTGTCAATCTATATCGAGGATTTAAAGGAAACATGAATCTTGACAACAAAACACACGCAACCTAACATAACCTAACCTAACCTACCTGTATTTACAAAAATTTGACCACATTTTAACCATCTTGCTTCTCACAGCCAAATCTTTCTTAGAAAACGGCAAGTTGGCTTTAAATAAATAGTAGAGATCTTCAGCATGAACAACACCTAAAAATTATGGTAGTTATGTAACTTAATAATATTTATATCTCAATCGGTGTATTTTTTAGAAAAAAAGTTTAAATTTGGAAAAAAATTTAAAATTTTTTAAAACAAAACAGAAAAAACTCATATTTACGTCATTTACTTTAAAATATTCAATTTGTTTGCATAATTTGATTTAAAAATATTTTAAATAAAATTAGACTTGCCGCTAAAATTAAATCCAAGTGCCTTCTCAATATCTCCTTTGTAGCTAAACTGATATAAGTATGTGTTAAGTACATATTTTTTAACATCAGCTACAAATCTATGGATAGGTCGAATAAACTGGTCAATATTAAACAACTAAAAATAAAACAATAAAATGGTTAACCGATTTTTAATAAAAGGCTGAATAAAATTTATACAGTGCGTTAAGTTTTGGATTAGGTATACACTCTATAAATGGCAACACTGCGCGTCTTCGACTTGCACTACATATCTGCTTCGTTGACTCGTCGTTGCACGTCGACGGTCGGGAAATTTGTCATATTGTCATTATACCGTGGTTGTTTAAAGGTATAACAGCGTAGAGTTTTATTTTATTTTTGTAAACATGTCTGTTTATATGGCCGCGGAAAAAGCTCAAATAATAACATGGTTTTATAGTGGCAATTCTGCGCAACAGTGTGTAGATTTATTTTCTGTGTTTTTTGAGGGAAGACCAATTGCTTGTGTACAGTCAATTTATAATATTGTTAAAAATTTTGAGAGTTGTTATTGCCTCAAAAATTGCAGAAAATGTCACGCTCGAGAAGTGTTACCAGAAAAAGTTGAGGAAAGAGAATACCGGGATACACAAATTTGTGCAACAATCGAGGTAGATTCAACACGTTCAAGTAGAAGCGTTGATAGAGAGTTAGATGTTAGCAATGTAACTGTAACGAAAGTATGGAAAAAGCACGGTTACAAGAATTTTAAATATTCGAAAACGCAGCAGCTTTATCCAGACGATTACTTTCGAAGAATGGAGTTTTGTGAAACTCTAATAACGGAGGCTAATAGTGAACCAAATTTTATTAAAAACATTTTATTCACTGATGAATCTTCTGTTTCGTTAGTAGGGAGACACAATCCTTCCATTACGAGGTATTGGGCGCGGGAAAACCAACACAGAAGTGTTGTTTACCGAACTCAACGTCCTCAAAAAGTTAACGTCTGGACTGGCATTTTAGGAGATCACATAATAGGTCCATTTTTTATTGAGGGCAACTTAAATAGTAGAGTATACCTCGATTTGTTACAGAATCATGTTCTTCCCGCTATTCTCAATCTTCCTGATGTAAATCTGGAGAATGTTTGGTTTCATCAAGATGGCTGTTCAGTTCACAACGCTCGAATTATTAGGGAGTATTTAAACAATACTTTCCCGAATCGAGTTAACAGTGGAACGGGCGATATTAAGTGGCCTGCGCGATCTCCAGATCTTACACCCATGGACTTCTTTTTTGGGGGACATTTAAAAAGCATTATCTACGCTCATCCTGAGGCTAGAGCCCAAAATTTGGATGAATTAAAAAATCGAATAAGAGAAGTCTCCAATTCTGTTACAGCAGAAACTCTTTCATCTGTTCGCAGAAGTTTTTATGACAGATTGGGGTACTGTTCAGCCGTAGAAGGTCAACTATTTGAACCATTTCTGTAGGTCATAAAGAATTATTTTTTATTTTATTAGGAATAATATTTTAATTTTCAATAAGAGTATATTTTTTATTTTATCTTTTTAAAGAAATACGATTTTATTTTTAATTCAACCACAAAAAAATTTTCACATTAATAAAAATCGATAACAATGCACCGATTAGTTCAGTGCATTTTTATCGAATTTCCTACTATTAAAATCGGCTTTACGTAATGAAACATGAGATCGGACGACAGAGAAGTACATCCCTAACGTTGTTGTGAGTTACTAAACTAAAATAAATGATTTTCTGTCGGTGTAGATTTTCGGGTCGGAGAACGAACATTTGCAACGTTGCCGATTTCAGCGCTCCGTATAGTGTGCAATACCTAATCAAAAACTTAACGCACTGTATTAGTACATTATAATCAATATATCTAATAATATATTTTCTAAATGTGTGTTAATTTATTAAAATTTTATATTAAGGGGATAGTTGTATGATAATGAATGAAATTAGATGTACAATTCGACTCCTGCATAGAATAACATTGTAAATTACCTTTTTTTCGATTTTGAGTTACAGTTTTTTTCTTGAATAACTTTTTACGCTCTATCTGCCAACATGGTCCGTTCGGAATAATACCGTAAATATAAAAAAAATTGAATTATTTGTAGAATAACAGAGTAACTACAGATACGATGTTGAACCAAATCAAATTTTCGTCGAAAAATACTGTATCGTACCCATCGAGCAAAAAGATAAAAGAGGGAATCTAATCTTTATGAAAAGGAGACCACAAAAGTGGCCTCTGATGGCGGACATATCCGAAAATGCAAAGGCGCTAAATTTAAATTTTCCAGCACTTATTAACAATAGCTGTAAAATATTTTTCAGATAAGAAAGTTTTAATTAAATATTAACGATAATAGTCTAAAAAGTGACACAATTGGTAAAAAACTTCAATAGAAATAAAATTTCATGTGACAGTTGGGACAAACAATAACATAACCAAACTAAATTTGACTTCTTAAACAAGGAAAGAAACTGTCTTTTCTTGTTTAAAGTGGCCTCTCAAGATAGCACTTCCTGTCTAACAATATTTTTGTCCCCACTACCTTTACATTCCCTCTTTTATCTTTTTGCTCGATGATCGTACCATAGTGTATCCAGATAATTCTAATATTTCAAAATGTACACCGTAACTGTTGTTACAATTTTATTCGCCGTATTGGCTACTAAGTTTCGATAATAATGCAGGTAGATACTACACGTCGTGTGGCAATATTTCGTGGCATTATTGTGAGAATAGTAGGGGGAAATAGACAGATCTTGATTGTTTCCCGGTCCCGGTGTTTAGTTTGCAGTTGAATAGTACACAGTGCAGGTGTTATTTTTTAACAAATAACGCACAATTATTTTGAGGTAGGTCATTCCCAAAAAGAGGGAGATTCCATGCACGCCTTAATAGAGCGACGTAAAAAAACCACACAGTTTTTATTCCCGAGCAATGAATAAGCTTAGGAAGATGTGCAAAACCAACAGGTAAACCGTATTTGGTAACCTACCTGCACAAAGACAATATATTTGATTTTAAAAAACTTATGACAACATTTCCAAATTGGTATATAAATGAAGAAAATGAAAAAATGGTCTGGAACATGGTGAAACACATAAATATTTCTGAAACAATTCCTGGCGCGGTGAATATTCAATATGATTTCATATCCGATAAAAAAATTAAGTTAAACTTGCTACAGAAACCTGTAGCATATTTATCTTATCTAGGGATAACAAAAGCAAAATATGATAATATGCAGTTTATGTCGAAGCCAGTGCATTTCTGTCACTTATCACGATTATTTTAAAAATCTCCCAGTTGATTGCAAGAACATTAATCAAGACAGCAATATGGAAGAATAGATATAAAATAAATATGTTCAATTTAAATTTAATTCGAATTTATATTTAGTTTGTAATAAAATTTGCATTGTAAAAACTATCTACTCTTGTTATTCCTTAACCTACAACGAGCAATAATTTGAAATTCATATTAACTTTTCCGATAAGAACATCGTAAGTGCAGTTACAAGATTATTCGATGAAACTTTATATTTATATCAAAAACTGTAACTGCTACAGTTTAAAAACCTATTCTCTAATCAAAAAAATTAGACCTTATTATAAAAAAGGAGTTCAACATTTGTATAACTACTTCTAACTTCTTACACTGAAAAAATGTTACATACATATAAAAAAAGAAATCAAAGAAATTGGTATCTTTTTTTATCACTTTTGAAGAATATTATAAATGCTGGGGTTATTTTTTGCAGGGGTCGAATTGTGTGGGTATGCAATTCCTTTAACTTGTAACTGTATATACAATATTATACTGAAAAAATTTAAGATTCTGACTGACTATTGCAAGGGGTTCTCAGGAGACGGGGGACAACGTACAGCCTACCTACAGAGGTAGGTGAAAACCGACCTTTTGAATTCTTGTCTAACAGAGAAATTTTTGGAATTGGTCGGAGAAAGTTAATCTGTGGGTGAAAATATCTTTTGAATAGTTTTTCGGCTTTTATGAGAATTTACCCAGGTAGAATTTAAGAAGTATAAGTTAATTGCTACTAATGGCGTAGCAACACTTGGATACATTTCTTACAGAAATTTATCTAGATGTTCTTTATCTGAATCCTAAGCCTTAAATGGAACCAGAATTCTCAAGAAAATAGAGAATTAGGTTCATACATGAGAACCTGTTGATCTTAAACCTTATGTTAACGAACTAATTTAAAAATGACTTTTTAAAACTTAAAAATATGTACATACGTGAATTAAAGAATTATCCATTTTTATAATTGGTGCATCTCCCAAAAATTCTTTTCTAATTTTAAGTCCTGCTTCCGTTAAATTTTTGTTGGAAATAATATCTGCTGGCACAAATTTCTCTGGTTGCTGATCAAATATTGATACCGAACCCGATAGTAATTCTGCAATACAATATTTCTTTTCAATAAAAAAAAAAATAAATAAAGTAAAATAATAGTATATTTCTTTATGAGGCGGAGAAGCATGACTTTTCTTGACGCGCCCGATATTACGCGTCGAACGAAGTAGGGCGCGTAGAGGGCAAATCAAGAAAAGTCGCTTCTTTGCCGAATAAAGTATACTATTTTTTCCTCAAACGTAGCAATTTTCAACCATAAATAGTACAATTCATACGCTATTTTTACTCGAAATTAACTGTGACAACTATCAAAGTCGTCTAGATGTTAGAAATTAAAATAATTAAGTCGTCGGTGGGATGGGATTTGCGTCTCCCTGGTTACAGTTGTTTGACAGTTGTTTGTAAATATTAAAGACAGCTTATTGTTATTCGCAAGCCGCCAACATCGGGAATGATTGCTGAAAGTTGTTCTCGACCATCAGTATCATCAACAATTGCCAATGCATATCAAGAGTCGGGAACATTTTTGCACGGTTTCAATTTTGAAAATGCCTCATTAACTAATTGTACTTTTAATATTACTATAAATAAAAATGATGTTTTATTGTTGTTAATGACATTTGTATTGTTGCTTTGTGACATGTTTCATATTGTTGCCATGACAACATTTTTCCCGCCGTTGTAAAGAAAAGGGAAAAAAACTGCTGCCGGCGGAAACATCAAACTTTGACAGGATCAGGTTAGATAAATATTGTCATCATTACTTGACGTTTGAAGAAAAAAGTATTTAAACGAATAAAACAAGGTAATTATTTTCAAAAATCAAAGAACCGTAAATAGACTCGTACCGTTCGATATACTCAATAATCATCATCATCATCATCATTCAATCTTCGCTTATCCACTGCTGGACATAGATCTCCGTCATAATTTTCCATCTATTCCGATCTTGTGCCTCTTGCATCCAATTCCTATGACAACGTTTTAGATCGTCATTCCAACGTATTGGTGGACGACCTCTACTTCGGTAGGCATCATCACTTGGTCTTCATTCCAGTATCCGCTCAATTCAGTATACACTCAATAATGTATCATGCAAAATTTTAGAAAAAATTATAAAAAGAAGACTATTGTGGTACTTAGAACAAGAAAACATATCAGTCCTCAGCAAAGTGGTATCCCTCAAAATAGGTCATCTGTACTGATATTTTTCTACTTGTTCTATCACGTTACTATTGATTGTCAAGAGGTTATGTATATTTTGTAGTCTTTTTCTAATTAGCATGTACTTCGCTTTTTTAGCGTTTATAGTAATTCCCATCTCAACACAATTCATACTTAAGCTTTCGATAAGATGTTGTAGATCTTCTATACTCGTTGCTATGATCACAGTGTGGTCTGCATATCGTAAGTTGTTAATTAATTTTCCGTTAGCGGTAACTCCTGCTTTGATATTATTGAGCGTGTTTTGGAAAATTTCTTTAGAATATTCTTCTTTCTATGCCGTCCCCATTAACGGAGGTTGGCGACCACATTTTTAAAAGCTTCTCTGTCTTTTGCAACGTGGAATAATTCGTCTACAGTCATGTTTGTCCAGTCTCGAATATTTCGCAGCCATGACTTCCTCTTTCTACCTATTCCCTTTTTGCCATCGACTCTACCCTGCATGATGACCTGCAGAAGACTATATTTATTATTTCTTAGTATGTGTCCAAGGTATGCAGTCTTGCGTACTTTTATCGTTCTCAACAATTTTTTGACTCGACCCATTCTTCTCAGCACTTCCTCATTGGTGACCCTGGCAGTCCATGGGATTCTCAACATTCTCCGGTATAACCAAAGTTCAAAGGCTTCAATCTTTTTAACTATTTGCGCTTTTAGTGTCCATGTTTCTACCCCGTACAATAATTGCGACCAGACGTAACATTCAACAAACCTCAGTCTCAGCACAATATTCAGATTTTTGTCACAGAACAATTGTTTGAATTTTAAGAACGCTGCCCTTGCCATTTCTATTCGAACCCGGATCTCTTGGTCTGGATCTAATTCTGTGTTGATGTAAGCTTCCAGATATTTATATTTTGTCACTCTCTCTATTTGCTGTCCACCAAGAGTTAGTTGTTCATTATTTATTGGACCCCTTGATACTATCATAAATTTGGTCCTATCTGTGTTGATGTCAAGTCCCATTTGAATGCATTCACTATTTATTGCATCTAGTAAAGTTTGTAGATCTTCTATACTCTCAGCCATAATTACCGTGTCATCTGCAAATCTCATGGTATTTATGATTTCTCCACCAATTCTTATTCCCTCTTTTCTTTCCCATAAGGCTTTTCTGAATATGACCTGTGAGTACACGTTGAAAAGCGTCGGAGACAAGACGCATCCTTGCCTAACCCCTCTCGCAATCAGTATATTATTTGTTTCTATATCGTTCACCTTTACTACTGCTTTCTGGTTCCAGTATATAGCCTTAATAAACTCAATGTCTTTTTTGTCTAAATTGATGTTTTTTAATTCATCTATTAACTTCATATGCTGCACTCGGTCAAAGGCCTTCCTAAAGTCTATGAAGCATACATATGCACTCTTGTTATATTCCCGACATTTCTGCAAGAGTACCGTCAACGCAAATAATGCCTCTCTTGTACCCATGCCTCCTCTGAAGCCAAACTGAGTTTCATCTATCTGTTCCTCACATTTCTTATAAATTCGGTTTTGAACAATTTTCAAAAGAATCTTTAAAGGGTGGCACATTAAGCTTATCAATCTATAGTCATTACATGATTTGGGATTGTTGTTTTTTGGTAGAGGTAAAAATATCGATTTAAGCCATTCTTCCGGGATGTTGCCCTCTACATATATGTGGTTGAGAATTCGGGTGAGTCTCTTTATATTACCATCTAAGGCTTTTAACAGTTCAACTGGAATTTGATCAGGACCTGGTGCTTTTCCTTGTTTTGCATTCTGTAGGGCATTAGAATATAAGGTAAATAAAAGTGGCGATAAAACGCATCCCTGTCTAATTCCTCTACAGATCTTCATTTCTTCCAAGTGTTGCCCATCAATTTGAATTATGGCACTTTGGTTTCAATATAATGTTTGCACTATATTTGAGATTTTACTGTCAATGCGTTTGTTCATAAGTATTGATATTAGTTTTTCATGTTTAACTTTATCGAAAGCTTTTCCTTAGTCAACGAAACACAAGTGTAGATCAACATTTACATCCCGACATCACTGAATCAATATGTTGATGGCAAATAGTCCTTCTCGAGTACCCATTCCATTTCGGAACCCGAACTGCGTCTCGCTAATATCCTCTTGTAGCCTTTCGTATATTCTCTTATGTATTATTTTTAGCAGAACTTTTAAAGTATGACTCATGAGGCTCAGTGTTCGATAATCAGCTCACTCTTATGCTGCTTGTTTTTTAGGGACGGTTATAAATGCTGACTTTACCCAGTCTTGTGGTATTATTCCCGTATCGCAGACCGTGTTGAATAAATCTGTCAATACTTCCAAGTTATCCTCTTCCACTAGTTTTAACAGTTCTACTGGTATTTCATCTAATTCAGCTGCCTTATTGTCTTTAGAGTTTTTGATAGCATATTTAATTTCATCTATCGTGATCTTATGTCCCTATAAAGGATTTAATTCTTGTATTTTCTGCATTTTACCTCTTTCATCTTGGAAAAGTTTTCTAACGTACTCCTCTCATAGTCTTAGTTTCTCTGTTAAGTATATTAGTAGTACTCCTTTTTTGTCTTTTATGTGTCCTTGCTATCTACTTCGACCGATTTCACCCGTTTCTCTTATTTTTTTTTGTGCATTTTATCATGATTATTACGATTTCATACTCAAAGATAAACTCACGGTAAAATACCGTGATTCATGACAATATTTAATAGATAAATTATTAACTATTCTACATACAGTAAAATACATAGAACATCATTCTGTATAAACTTCTGTATAAATTACTATACAAACCACAATTATAAAATGTTAAACCTTCAGTATACATTAGGACCACACTAATAAATAACGATGTAATCATATACTGTCAGAGAGATATTTCTGTATCAATTATTAGGACACTGTTTATTATAGAACATTGCAGTGTATTATAGTACACTAATATTATGTTACTCCAATAAATTGGAATCTACCAAATACTGAAATTATGTCTTTACACTTTGCATTCATATCCAAGTAAATAAGCTAGACCCAGGGGTCGACAAGTAATTTTATGTGGGATCCGGATAATAGAAGAAAATTTGAACAAGGTACAGAAAAAAAAACAAATGATAACGTTTAATGACAAGATCCTTATTATTTTGGTTTATTCTTAATAATAAAACAAAAGACCTTAAATTAGTGCGAAAAATGGCACCGATGGTCTTGAGCTAGTTGTTTGTGATCTGATTCTCGAGTTGAACAACAAATTTGAAGTGTATCTTCGAGGTTAGCGTCCGTTAATCGGGAGCGATATTTGTTTGTCAAAAAATTCATTTTTGAGCAAGACGTTTCGCACATATACGTTGAGCCAAACATAGTAGCCAAATTGATTACAAGTTGTATGCAATTTTCATATTTTGCTGGCATATGTTTGGTCCAAAATTCTTCGGCGGATACCGATTTATAAACGTGCAAGGATAGTCTTCAATAGATATGGTGCAGCCATATCTGTCCATTCTGTCGCTGCATCACGTTTAAATGGTAATTTTAGAAATGAAGATAGTTTGCTTACCTGTGCAAAGTCTTGAAATCTTGAAGTAAATTCGTTCCTAAGATCGCCCAGAAATTTTATGAACACTGAAATGTCTTCTTTGGAGTACTCCTTATTTTTATTATGTTCAAGAATAGTTGTAAAATGAATAAATTTTTGTTGTGCAATATCTTTCTCAAAGATATCCAGCTTACGACGAAAAGCAGACATGCTTTGTATCAGATGACATACTAATTTTCCATTTCCTGGTAACTCTGTGTTAAGCGCATACAAATATTTTAAAATATCTTTTAGAAAAGTCACAACCA